TTAATTTCAGGTTCATAGAGTTTTAGCAGATAGTGTGGCGGCCAAAGCAGGACTGAAGAGAGGAGCTAAAGTGAGAAGTATAAACGGCTGCGTAATGGCAGGGTTGACCCACGCACAGTCCGTCAGTATCCTTAAGGTAAAGAATATGATGCTTTCTATTTTAAGTTCAATACATATGTTGTTGCATCATTAAAGAAAAAACGTAATAAAATAAAACTAAATGGGATAACGATTATGGATTTGGAATGCTATATAGTACTAGTTACAGAGACCTCAGCATTATTTAGATGACAAGCCCAAGTATTGCGCTCAATACAAATTATTGTAATCTTCACATACATTAGTATGATGATCACTTTATGAAATAATTTTTTTTCCAGGAACAACGTTCAGAAGTTGTCATCGAAATAGAGATCGAAAATCGACAAAATGCAAATGGTGTAGGAGGCGGCTCTGACAAAGGTTTGTATTTAATCTTTTCAATTAATATCTGTAAAAAAATAATAGAAAATATTTTTTTCCGAATACTAAGTTGGTACAAGATCTGAGCGACCGGCTGTAGTGTAACGTGTACCGATTCCAGTAATCCACTAATTGTTCTTTCGGCTCTAGGTGTGATATCTGTGTATTGTATATTTGTGTATCTAAATGCACTCACAACATAGGAGAAAATCCTAGAGCGGCTTGCATTAAGAAAATAATAAATTAAATCGGAATACTTATTTTACTTTTGTTTTATTTACAGCGGAGTCGAAGGTCCGAAATGAAGTTAAAGACAAAGATTTAGGAGAAGACAGTAAAACTACTGGTGCTGTAGTAACGGTGTTGCTGGAGAAGGCTGGTGGTGGAGCCGGACTTGGTTTCGGCTTGGATGGCGGCCGCGACTCGCCTCGCGGCGATCGGCCTTTGACCATTAAGAAACTCTTCGCAGGTAAGCTTTTGGTTTCAGTCTAAGATAAATTCGTTGGAAAATCATATGTCTGTTATTAATATCGCTTTTGATGAATTTGGAGCTACCTTGAAATATTGACCGACCGATTAATACGTTATAAAGTTTAACGGTAGGACGGAGGCAAATTAAAAGGAGATAATTATGCGAAATATGTGCGACTGTCTCGCTGGCCGAGTGGTCGCAAATGCGACTGCCGAGCAAGGGGGGTCTCGGGGTCGATTCGAGGGTCAGCCAAATTATTACACAGGGTTATTTAAAAAAAATCTCAGTATAACACGGTGTCTGGATTTGTGTCCGGTATATGGTAATAGGCTCTATCTCTATTACATGGCACTCATAAACACAAATAGTGAAAAGTGCGTGTTACATTGTAAGGTGGCAGTAAGTTCCATAATGTGCACCTCTGCCGACCCCTTCGATTATGATAAAAAGGCGTGATATTATGTCAAGTTAATTATGCAAAATAATAAGTGATAAAATTCAAAGTTTTAATTCTGATTATTGTAATTCCAGGAGGAGCAGCAGCACAAAGCGGTCGTGTTCTAGTCGGTGCGGAACTTCTGTCAGCTGGCGGACAGTCGATGGAAGGATTCACGCGCACACAAGCCTGGGCAGCTCTGAAGGCTCTGCCTGCTGGCCCGGTTACCCTTGTACTTAGGAACCCTAAAGGCAATATGGATATTTGAATATAAATAATATATTACAACAAGTTATAATACAGTAAAGCCTACTCATATAACAGTGATACCAAATTGGTTAAAAAGATCTCCTTGAATAATTGAGTTTGGTGACGTGTCTCTGAGCCCAGTTAGCCTGCTTAACAGATTATTTATCTGCGAGCTTTCCTACGAGAGAGTGAAGCGGTGCTAACTGACACCATTCAATTTAGGAAATTGCGATGAGAGCGTAGGGTTTCGAGACTGGTTGTTCTTTCTTCTTTTATTTACAATTTGCCTCATTCATTAGTCACTGTCTCTATAAGATTGTAAATAAGTAATTTAAATGTTATCTGTCTGTAAAGGATTCTCGTAAACATATAAGGTTATTTAAGACTGTTTCATTTTTTGTTAAAATCGTTTATTTATTAATTCGGTTTAATTAACTAGTCTGGATTGTAGGAATGTTAAAGATAACATTAAATTTTAAGCTTTGTACTTAAAGTGCGGGCTATAAAACGAAGATCAAAATTAATGTCATTTGTGCCATTTTTAGTTTCATGAATCATTTATGCGCACACGGTGATGTACATAATTGACATAATAATTATATTCTAAGCTTGTGAAGCGTCATTTATAAAGCTGAGCTTTCGAACTACGTAAATGTAATATTAGGGCGTGCAGTTTTGATGGAGATCTATTCTTTTTGCATATTGTCCATATTTACCAATATGAGTTTTGACGTCATTTTTATACCGAAAAAAATACTGCTAATTGGTAGTAGTTCGTACATCTCTCAATATTTCTTTATGAAAAGGAAACGTTATAACTCATGTGTGGTGCCTTGTTTCATAATAGTATGCTATGTTTATAATCCAATTTATTCCCGTTTTATTGCTGCAACAAATATTTTATTTTCTATTTGATCTAAAATGTTTTGAAAGTCTGTTTTATATATTCACGCAAACTTTACTTGCCATGATACTTATTGCCAATAGCGGTACCTATCATACCATTGCTTAGGTTTAATACATCGAACTATTTAATTAAGAACTTGTAAATATTTTGTTATTTATTAATAACTGTTTTGCAGCGGGTTATGTTAAGCTCGTCGCCGCTTGTACTAAGTAACTGATTCATTGATTAAGTTGTGGAATTCTTTACTTATTTCGAGACAATCTGATATTTTACAACCTGATTAAGCTGTTTCGAGTAGTGGAAGTTAGTAATGCAAAGTCGACTATAAAATGATGTTACCGTATTTACCAATTTACTATTATGAAGTCCAAGACCACAAGATCCAATTTTGTTAAACAAGTTCAAAATGTAATAGATACGGTAAAACATTTTTATATTCGACGACCTACGGAAATGTGTGTATTGTATTCGTAGCTATAATAAGAGCCAGCATGTCATTTATATTAGTTAGTTACAAATAGATAATATTATATTTTTGTACCTACTACTTGCATAGTTAACTGATTATGTTTGTGACTCTCACAGCAATACGACGTAGCAATACGAACCTTAATTTCTACTATATACAAGCGGAATGACACGAAACTATTCCCTGTCATTAACATCTGATTTATTATACCCCTTTATGAATACACAATATTCTTTTACTTATTAGGTGATATATGTTATCTTAGTTACTATTAATCTTTTATGTTACTATATTATATTATATAATCACCGTAATAAATAATGTTGTTTTACTCTATCCCTCATTAAAAGAAGTAGGTAATTGTTGTTAGACGAAAGGCCTGCTTAAATTTCACGTCTTGGCATGCGAGTTGGAGATCGTAGTTTCAAAAGTTCAGGTTTGTAAGAATGATCTGCTGATAGGACAGTGCCTTCAACCAAACGCCACTTTAGCGCTTGTCTACAGAGAGAGTAGAAAACTAAATGTATAGGGATGACATTGACAAGAGTCAAAATTTACGTCAATCCCATATAATTTGGTTTTCTATTCTACGTATAGACAAGCGCTAAGTGGCATTTGGCTACAGCTGCGGGTCTGTGTCAAATGCGTCCACCAAACAAGTCTCTAATTCAGGTCCTACGAAACCCGTGTGAAAGTATTGGAAGATAGAAGATGCTCCTGCGACAGAGTTCATTAAATTATGCTAATTTAAAAAAAAATACCTACTCTTTTACCTTGTCAGTCTAGTAAAGACTGTAATGGATGAATAAAATAGTTCCTTAGTTTTTTAAATAAAACCAACACCCTTCCTACTGTTGGATAAAAGACGAATACTTACTGGTGATATTTAATACTGATGGTTCTTAATGAGGTTCTGGTACTTATAAATAAGCGTCCCGTTGTGACTATCAACAAATAGAGCTTTTCTTAGTTGCGTGAATGAATAAGCATTATTTTGAATTAACTAATATAGTTCCCAGTTACAAGTTGGTCTTCAACGATCTAGAGGTACATACGAGCATGTCCTCTAAATGTATAAAGTTGCAATTGTTAATTAAGCTGAAATTTTCGTCGTATAATCACGTCGTTCGCGTTCACAGGCGATTAATGTCATGGCAATGACGACATTCAAGGGTTAATGAGGTTTCATAGTACCTGCGAGCGCTTCATTCCAAAGTGTAGCACGTACAGTCGAGCAATGAATTCAAAAAATATTTAAAAAATACGTATTTGAAAATGAGTCTCTAGCATTGCCTACTATTTCTACTGTCTTAAACTGTCTAACACCAAGCGGTCACCGGTGACCGCAACCTATTGTTCTATAATTGTGTCTACAAAACCGGTACTCGACGAGTTAATATCAATTTCTTTGTTACTTATAATGGGGCGGGTATTTTTATAATATAGACGGTAGCGACATCTATGTTGTGCATTGAAATTTTCTACCAATTATTTTTTGAATGAGTATACACCTAAAAGGCTTGTCAGACACTTATTAGGACTTTTTCTCCCACGCTCTAGTTAGGGAAAATCTGACTAGTGTTTACTTACCTATACAATACACCGCGGATTTTAGTTAGCATCAGAGGAAAAATGACAGACGTTTGTTTTTATTATGGTGTTCTTTTAGTTAAGGACCGCATTACTCATTAAGAGTATATAGAGGTTGTAATTAAACCGCTGTTTATTAGCAGACGTATTTTCGTTACGAATTGTGTCAAAATAATATACACGAGACAGCTTCGTACTAGTTTGTTTTGCGTTTAAAATAATCGAACGCATACTGGGTTCGGGGCTCTGATTGGCCGGCTCCAATCAACCGACAAATCACAGCGCCGACCGCGGTCTCATTTCGATTAGTTTATACGTAAAACTAACTCGTCGTCGTGGTAATACCTTAAATGACATAAAAAGTTTTCAACGAGAAATACGTAGTCGGCTACCAATAAAAAATTAAAACACGTGCTTCATTTTAAACTTTTATTTATATCGTTGCCTAAGTACTTATATTAAAATGCTATAGTAAAATGCAAAAATATTCAGTAAGCTATCGCGTCTGCCATTCATATCATTGAATGCTTATTGTGTTTATTATTCATTGGCCAAATACATCTGTTAGCTCTACATCATTAAATATACACAGGGTATATAAAATACAATACTTATTTGGATTCTACACGACAATATAAAAATACATTTGACAGTCGTCCAAAATACAATTTTACTTCCAATACAGAATTTAGCTTTTTTCCATAATTATATAATTTAGAATAAATTTCTCGTTGTGTAAATCACATGTATATTGTATTTTTTATTAATTTTGAATTTTAATAATACTCATGGACAATGAGGAATTATGTATGTTTGTATAAAAATTAGTATTTTGTGTAGTTTTAAAGGGATTATTTATTTGTGCGCAAAAAGTTATATCTTTCTTTAAACTCTGTACATTGTACAAAAATACCTCCAAATTACATTTTCATTCATTCTTAAAATATTTAAAGTTCAATAAAAGCACGTCTTATATACTAGTAATAACATACTAGTTTCCTTATTAAAATGTATTATTTATTGTATGTACTATATTTTTACAATAAATACTAAGTAGATGTCACAATTATAAAAATAAGTTAGTTGCCTTATAATATATACCTCTATAATTACAAAACACTACGGTGTCGCATTCAGCTTTGAATATCAATATCACAGACAATTTTTATCAAAATTGTGTCAAACTGTGTGTATCTAATACTTTTCGTTTGCTTTCATTATTTTGGTTAGTTTAAATATACAAAATAATCTATATGCAATTTCTAACCATATTATATTCAACAGTTCTATTAATTGCATATAAACTGTTATATATAGCAATTCTAATCTTTTACCTACTTTCTAATACTCGAAATACATATCTAAGTAGGATAGTCTATTTTTTTATTACAATCTTCCAGCAATTAATAAATGCAATGTCAAAATACTATATACATATCTATTAATGTATTTGTTTACAAAAAGATGCATATAAGTTTTAAAAATACAGTATATTTATATAGTAAATACAGTCCCAAAATATTTTGATAATACAAATTTGTTTAAATTTTAATCACATTTCATTTGTTTTTATTTATTGTAAACCGCTACTTTTATTGCAAAAGAGACGGATCCTAGCAGTGAATTACCTTGTTTGATTTCTTTTCGCCAAAACAAAAATCCAAATAAGGCAAGCCGTTATCATTAACCGTCTTATTGTGGTACTTTAGGAGTCATGTTTGATTAGTTTAAAGTTAATTCGTGAAAATGAGTCCTACATTTTGTGAATAATAGCTATATTTTTAAGGTTAGGGTTTTGTTAGGTACCTGTTTCATATGAATGCCTAATTTCTTTCACATAAGGCACATTTGTAATGAATTAAATTGATTTTAAAAATCCTGTTAGTGTACCTTTATTAAGCCTTCTCAATTTATCATGGTTCAAAATGAGGAAACTTCATTAATGATTAGGTGTACACATTATAGTCTTACATAAGGGTACTTTCCAAACGGGCAATATTTATCTGCAATATAGTAGCTAGCAATATTTGCAATTATATCCCGGCCATTTATTGAAACATTTTTGGTATAGTCATGTACGATCGGTACAAATAGAAAATATTCACCGTGCAGAAGCATCATAAGACTGGTGCATATGATCATACCTTCTTACAAGAAATAGCCGTGAATATATTTGATATGTCAGTGAGATAAATATTTATGGGAGTCAGTAGCCGCAGAGGCTAGATAGCTACCACGTCACGATTACATCAACTACACATTTTCGTTTCATATCTACATAGGCTTGATGTGTAGTATATTATGTGAGAGTGTTTATAAACGTACCCACAGCATAGGAAATAATTCTAGTATGGGGCATCGTTTTATAAGGAGACTACATAGTGGAGTAGATGTCAGATGCACGGTTAGGCGCCTGCTGGTCGTGCATGTCGCAGCAGGCGCAACGCAGTCAGCGAGGAGGACGACGCGTCACCCGCAGCAGCACGGGTCCTGCACGGACATCCTTGAATAGACGAATCGCCTCTCCATGTGTCAACCCTGCCGTGCCGCGTCCGTTTACTGACAGGATTTCGTCACCTGGAAATTAAAGATAAACTATTAGGCAGAAATTAACGTTTTCTTAGTCCAGGGTTTTTCATCATGGCCCTTTTAGTATGAAGAAATATGTCGGAACCCCGGTTGTTAATTTTTTTAACTAATATTGAATCCAATATGTTTGCCACCTCGTAACTACGTGTGCACGTTGACATTTTCGTCAATGGCTCAAATAAAAAGCAAGGATAACATTTTTTTAAATTCGGAAAACGAATTCTAAATGTAGCAAAAACGGATCCACGGTGGGAGAAATTGGTGACTGAAAAACAAGCGCACATTAACGGGTCCTTCTGAGTTTATTTAAATTTTTTGTTTAACCTCTTATTATATATCGGTGTTTAAGACACAGTAGATATGCATTGTGTCTCTCGTGATCTACGTTCCGACATACCAGAGGTCTATGATAGATAATGGATAATAGCAAATGATTATGATGGAACAGATCTCAGAAGTTATTATTATTCTTAGTTATTTCTTTTCATACAAATGATTAAGTATGTCTTTTAGTAAACATTTCTCTTAATAAAACTTTATAAATGTTTTGGTTTCTTTTTTACTGCTGTAGCTATTCCAACCTTTAGCAACTCCACTATAAAAACCACAGGTTGAAACACCATGTCTTAGTCTATGAAATACTCAGTTACCTACTTAGCGTTTACATTTAATTAATACTCATCAAAGATACTAAGTAATTAGTGCCTTCGCAATTATTTGTAACCGTTGATTCAATTAACTGAGTTTGCAACTGCATCTCTCCAAATACGGATATAAGAGCTCTACTGGGTAGGTATGTAGAAAATGCTCTAATGATGCACAAGCTAACATTACTCATTACCCTAATTCCAAAGGATAAATAAAATAAACAAATGTATGAAATGAGTACTCAGGTTATCTGAAGGCATTATACATTTTGTAACTTCCTTTTAATTAACTAAGACTTTGCACCTTATAGTTTTCGTAATAGTAGTTTGTTGGAGAGGTTGTGTATTTTCAAGACTATTAAGTCTCAGTCTAATCTTAAAACAGTAGTTTTATATTCCCTAAGATCAAATTAATCCGCTAATTTTCTTAAATCTGATTCTGATAACCACGTAGTTTCAATATTTTAATGTCTATAATCTACAAATTCAATCCAAGAAAACTCAACGTACAAGAACCGCAATTCCTAAAAAGTATACAAACATGAAAGAATCCAAATATCCTTTCACGAAACTGGAAATAAAACAAACAAATTGTCTGCCTGTTGTCTGTACATTCTGTTTCTGTTTGAAGACAAACTTGTTTTTGATGTTTTAAGTATAGGTAATGAAGACGCGACGCATTAAAACATGTTCGCCCTCTTTCTTTATGACACCAGTCTCAAATAGTACATAAATAGACGTACACCAGACGTACTGTTATTACACAATTTAAGAACCTAAAAACTCAATAGTATACTTTTATGTTACTTTTTTTAGTTCTTATGTCAACTTTAAAATTAACTCTTGGAAGTTGACCTTACGATCTCTACACGACCTGTTATTATCTAAAGGCTATGTATTTATAAGTTCCTTCCCTGGACTTCCACGAACATTTCAAGACCAAAATTATATAAATCGATTCAGCCGTTTCCAAGTTTTAGCGAGACTAACGAACGGATATTTATTTTTATTTATATAGATAGATAGCAAAAACAGTTTTGTATTTGGCTACATACTTACTAATATTAAGTACTATTTACTCAAGTATCTCAGAATGTATGCAAGTACGACTAGGAAATTGGAACATTTAGCACTTGCATCGTAATTTTTTTATTCGAAGGCAGTACCTTCATACACAAGGGCGATCTAATTGCCACGCGCCACTGCTAATTAGATCCGCTGTTTGTTCAACTGAATATAACCTTAAGTTCTTGTTTATACTGCAAACAGCAGGTGTAAGTAAATGTTGAGTAATAAATATAACATGCAGCTGTCTTACAACAGTCGCTCTGGAATGTTCTGCACCTTTCTATGAAGTTTAATAATGATTGATGGTAAAAACAAAGGTTATCGCATATGTTTCCCTATACAATAGTGCGTAGACAATGTACTCAATAAACATTTTTGGTCTGACATGTATTCTTCATCTTCGGACGCTAATTGGAAAATTCAACAGGCACAAACAAACTTTCATCTTACGAGTAATTCAAGTTAATGCACCTTTTTTACAACATTCAGTTGATTGACCGCTATCAACCGCTCATAAATCTCTAAACGGGTCAAGCAGTGCTTCAATAGCTATACATAATGCATTGGAAAACGTTGGAATCTGTGTCAAGATAATGATCGTAAACATCGCTCTTACCTTCTCTTAGTACAGATTCAGCAGCCTGGCCATTATTGAAAATAGTTTTCACAAAAATGCCCATGTCACCGCGCGGTGAGTCCCGCCCACCTACGATGCTAAACCCGAGACCTTTCCCGCCAGCTGACTTTGTGAACCGCACCTGCAACATTTAGGATTAATATGAATACGTGGCATTAAATATTTACGAGAGCAATATATATGGCTATTTTACGTTACGTAATAAATGTCACAGAAGTCATAATTTCATGTATACCTCAAAAGTGTGTGTATCTCGAGGTTCAGGAGCAGGTGGTCGCTTCCCTGGCTGAGTAGCGGCAGGCGGCGCGGGGGGCGGGCGTGCTGATCTTGGAGTCGCACTAACACGTAACTCAGCAACACCATTCCTCAACTGGGTCATCGAGTCCTGCCTGGACTGAACCCGCGGCAATCTATAAGGTTCTTCCCATAACCTCTGAGAAGCATCACAGGGTAGCCGATTGTATCCATTTCTATAAGGGACATCTAATTCTACATTTTCACTGTAGGGTCGACGACTTCGTCCCTCTGAACTATTTTTCCTCCTTTCAGGCACATAATTATAATCAACTACATCTCGACTTTCGTCTTCTTGACTAATAAGAGGCGCGCGGTCTCTAGATGTTGCAGAATCTTTGGCTGCTCTGTAAACGTTTGGTGAACTACACCGTCTTCGAACTGATGCTGACTGGCGAGTCGGGGAGGGTGACGGCGGATGCCTTGTTGCAGTAGGACTAGGAACATAGAAAGTAGATGGTTGTTGCTGAGGTGGAGCTAATACGTCATGAGCAGACAGTGCTCGTCGTCGGAGCCCACCGCCAAGCTTTCCCAAGGCACGAAGTAAATCTGGAGCACCGCTAGTCACACGAAGGGATGCAGTTGTATACACTTTTCCTCGATGTCGAAATGACAGTTTTGAAGGTGGTGCAGGGGAGCAGTGTGTTGGAGGTCTCGGTGGTGACGGTGAGCAGCGCACTGGGCTCGGCTCACGGTTGCCAGATCCCGGTCGCAATCGTGAACATCGTCGCCGTAGTTTCCGCCATCTTTGAGACAGATTAGCGTTCCATCCCTCTTCTGGAACGTGAATAAATAGATGGTTGTAGAAGATAGTTGTAAGTTATAATATCAGCAGTGACCGTTACAAGAATAATTCATAACATGTAATGTTACAATTGTACGACATATAGTGTCGTACAATACACGTTGCTGGAAGTCAAATCTAACATTATCCAGCTAATGTTCTTAATAAATGGAGGTAACGGTTTAGGTAAACGCCATTATCACCGTGTATGGTTTTATGACACATAAGGAAGTTACCTTTCTTGTTGGTGTCGGCGTCGGAGGCGTAGTCGTGAGCACGCGGGGGAGGCGCGGGCGGCGACGCGGGCGCTGCGAAGCTGTGTCGCAGCGGTGTCATGCGCAGCAGCCGGGGACGATCGCCTCCACCACCGCGAGAACCCCATGCTGGAGCTCCCATTGTCATTTAACACCTGAAATATGAATGCAAACAATCATAAGTAAATGCAAATATAAGCACCAATTAGTTAGCTTATAACCAAATCTTTTACAAAACACACGTTTAATATTAATAAATCAGAAAATCCATAATGCGTAAATAATAGGTACGGCATAAACCATCTTAGAATGATTGCATTTTATTATGTCCACTGATTCTCTTTCTCAATACTCATTAATGTTTCATTACTGAACGGTAAGTGTAAAGTATTTTATTAGAACAAATTGTAAAAGGCGAAGCCCAATAAAATTCCACTGGCAAGTCATGAACGAAGTGGGTTGATGGGTACTCATAGTCGTGATTACTGTAGTTGGACTTAATAAACTAGAACCATCACGCACCGCTAAATATAGGAACCACTTGTGCTTATTAGAAGCTTGATATAATTAGATGTGACTTAATGCCACTTACGTCTTGAGAGCAACTTCCAGAGCAAGTAAAAAAGGCATGTGCCCGTATTAATTAAATGTTTAAATATGCTTTAAAGCTGGTAGCCGTTGAAGATTATGGAGGCATAAACATTGACCACGGTGCTGCCCACACGGCGTGGGTTTAGGTCGGCAAACAACGACGTCCGGTCACCGGAGCCCTGTCGCATAACTTCAACAATTATGTCTAGTCGTGACCCACATAACTCGTAAAATATTCATTACCAGCGACCAGAGTCACTTCAATGAAGGGCATGTCACGATTTTACTCATTCAACAAATAAAAGTACTAACGTGTCGCGTTAATTGACACAGTTGGTTAATCTGTTTTTATTTCATTAGCTCTAATAAAATGAAGCTATTTTTAAACTTTTATTCATGTTCTGTACATTTGGTATATGTCTACATTTCAATTATAGACTACCATTAAATCGTTTGCTTGGATTAGACAGATGTTATTGTAATTATAGAACCGAACCCAAACATTGTTTCGTCTGACTGAGTAGGAGCTACCGAGTGCCTCTTGCGGATATCCGCTCCGGCAGACTTACCCACCACTCATACTAAATAGTTGAGGCGCACTTGATGCACTCCACCGTCTCTACACCGTCTACGGTTTTATATATTTACGACCATGAAGTAATTATAATTTACAACCGTTTTATTTGATGGTTCGGTGAACAGAGCTCGCGTGCGTTACGACTAGTTAGATTTGATTCCAGTGTACACCAAACCAGCTTACGTACAAACAGTTTCTGCTACAAAATTGTGGGAACATATAAAAGGAATTTCTGATCGAAATATCTGCATTTATAAATATTTTTCTCTACTGTAATAGTTATAATTGAATTGATTTAAATTCATTTCAAAGCCTGGAATTTAGACTTAAATCGTAGCAACAAACTACTCGTATGTTTACAAAGACAAAAATATCGCAAGATTTAATTTGTAGATAAAATAAATAAGCATTAAATATACGGTTTCAGACTGGATAGTTTAGGATAAGGGGACAAAATTTATCTCTGGGGACAGTACAGTTGTAGACACTATAAAAATACTAGGGAGTAATTAAATTCCGGTGTTCTAATCCCGAGGGCGAAACTTTACGACCGAAGGGTTTGTGGTCTAACAAAAACAAAGGATATTTATTTGTGTTGACCAGCTCTGAATTGGAGTTCGAACTCAGAGTTGAAGTTGAAACTCAGAGTTTGAAATTGAAACGCAGAATAGGAGTTGTGTACAATAGTGTACTGTTATTCCATTCATAAGCTCGATATATCTCCAGTTACAATACAAAACAAATTACTGTATGATAATATTACAATGACTAATGTCTATGTGAAGTAATTAATGAATGGATTAAACTAAGTTTAATTGGATTAGGAAGTATTTATTACTTTATTATTTAAATGATTCACATTTTCTTAGGATTATAAGGAAAATTCTGCTTATGATTATATGCAAGTATTAAATTTTACGAAACAATTAAATTATGCCTCATGTAAAACAATTCATAAATTTAATGATATACCGGCAGGAATATGAGTCAACAGCCACCATTAAATGGATGAAATTTAAGTTAAAGAGTTAATAAGTTCACAAGGAGTTCAGCCACATAATATTAGTTGTACGCCATAGTCTCTTTATTGTTACGACAGTGAAGTAATTTGATAGCGGACTATAAAACTGTAAAGTACAGTTTTGTACAAAACAATAGCATTCGACTAGTTTATCCAGTGCACGGTGTAGGAAATTGGCGTTAATTTCTGCCGGCGCGGTACCGTTGCGAGCCGAATTTGGCAGCACTGACAGTGTCGCTGCCACTACGCTGGTCACTGATCTTCCGGTGTTTCGGTGCTTACTGACAGTTACGGAAACAACATTAAAATTTCCCTGATCAATCATCACGTTCAGTTAATTAGCTTCTGTCATTCGAAACGATAATAATGGCGCCCCGATATGTCTGACATAGTTAAAGAGACATCAATGGAGACGCGTTGAAATCATAACAGGTTACTCCCACGCTTTTGCCGCGCCGTGTTTGGGATAGTTTTTGCCGTAAAGCTAACAACGTTCTCGTTCATACAATAGAATGATCTATTAAATCTTAGTTTTCCTGTTGTGTCGTACGTTATAAGCTGGTGCCGCACGCAACTTGATAAACGACGTCATTTTTTAAATATAAAAACTAAACCTAGTCACTAGCTAATAATAAAGTTTGAAAACAATAGAGTCATCTCCTGGAATAGTTGTTTATATAATATTTTTTATTAAATTCATATTTTCCTTATTGAGCTTTATTTCTTTTGGAATGTCTTAACGCAATAAGAATAATGGGACGTTTCTTCTATAGATTTGCATCACGGGAAATAATGAATGTTTTAAAATGAGGTGTTGCCCTTTGTGCGTGACAAAATGAAAGGCGGAATTCATAGTATCAGCAGATGGGTGGGTCTGGGAGCACGGGCACCTCAATTGTTCCCTAGCGGCCCTTCTTTGAACTCAAGTGGCCGCCATTAAGGCCTGAATCCATTAGTTGTTCATTCCAAGGGAGTTTAAGTGTTCTCGACCGCCTCAATGTGACGTGTGAACCGGCAAAGCAACAGTCCCTCTGTTATCTGTAGATCACTAGGCTGGGATATTGAAATTGAAAGTTATTTTGAGTTTATACATAAATAAATGTCAATTCTTTAATACTTATGTAATAAAATGTCTACTTTTAGGAAGTAAGTTGACGAGGCAGTTCTATGTATACGAACTCGTCTCGCTTGAACCATTTAACCAGACCCTAAGCGGTGTTGTTTGTTTATTCAAAACGTATACAATCAGGCCAGTGATGTGGTTACATTAAGTTATTAAATGTAATAAATAGGTATCGTGGTTGAGCATCAAGGTTAAGAGCATAAAGCAAACCTGATATCGTTGCTATAGTTTTATTATTAATTATAGCCTTATATTTTGTTCTAGACCTAGATATTCAATTTATTAGCAAAGACAAGTTAAGCGGCCATACAATATTATTGTAGGAATTTATGGTTTATATAACGTAACTGTTTCGTGGCCATGTTGCGCCCACACTTATTAACCAAACTAAGATTTATGCGTGACTACGAGAGCGATAGTGGTACAATAGGCCCTAAGGAATGTGACCCGAGTTTTGTTCGTTACCTACATCAGCGTCGCCCCTTTCAAATAATCAATTCATGGTATGAACGACCATGATGTAATCATAAAGGGTTTTATGATCGCGACATGTTTATCGCAGGGTGTGAATCAACTGTTCTTCTATAATTCATATGCATATTCTGAAATCAACGTCTGAATAAAATATTATATTACCTCGGGTAATTATTGTTTTATACATTATACGTGTGTGATATTTGTGCAAGTAAACACTGAATTTCGACGTTAATTAAAATAGAATAACAAACACGATACAGAGACAGACAGTTAAAACAAAAGTGAAGAAATGATGTCATAAACTCGGCTAAAAAACAAACAAAAGACGAAAGCGGCAATAGTAATCACGAAGCCGTTTGAAAATAATAATGTTTCGGTACAGTTTATAGCGTTATTTGTAATTTTTGTGCACAAGTAGGCCAGCACTAGTCGGCTGTAGTCATCAGTACCGTGGATCTGTCTGTAGTCTGTACAGCGACAATGTTTGCCATAGAATTAAGTAGCGGGTAGATCCCGCGCTCTACATCTCAGATCATCGGACGAATCTGGGAAATTCTCTCTCTTTCTATTACGATTTTTTCTCAGAAGAAATCTGCTCCAATTTCATTGTTATAGTATAGTTTAATAAGTTGTTGTACTTACAAAGTTCTGCGTAACAATAGAACAAATGTACACAAATTAAACACTTATTGCAACTGGTACTAATTATAATATCGTGAATATTCATTGTTTGTAATAGCTATGCTAAGTATTTGTAAAGGTGTACCTATTCGCAGTTATTTATAAAATATTTGAGTAGTAAGAACAATAAAACTCTTTGTGAAAATGTTTGAAATGCATAATGAACGATGTCATTAAGTGCTTGTATGAAAGTTGATTTTTGCAACAAGGTTTTATTATTTGGTTTAAAAGAAGCTCTTGCCGACAGATGCGTATGGTATAACTAGTTATTACTAGATTCCAATATAAAAAAGACCCTTTAGCTAAAACTAAAACCAATAATCCAATGCTTAACTTGTCTTTAGATTCTTATAAACGTAAGTGATATGTATAGTACATATTACTATCTAAATTCTTTCAAGTTTTGAAAATGGATCTTCCGAACTAAATACATACATTATTTGGTTATTCATACAAATATTAACACTAGAAAATGAATGTTTTCTTTTTCATTTCGAAAGCAGGTCTTTCTGGCTGGTATGCAGGCTCTTGTGAATCACTTAATTTATTCAAAATTATTCTACATGACAATGTTCATGAGTTAAGACGTTTGAGCTTCCTAATACGATACATACCTTAAACCGCATCGCTAAGACAACAAAGAGGTAAATCCAAAATGGAGCCGAACTCTTATGTATTGAACAAA